AAGGTGGCTCTCAGAACTTTCCTGGAGAAAGATGACAAGGCATGAGCTGGGGAAGAGGGAAAGGAGTAGAGATGAGAGATTTGGGAGATGTTCAGGGTTTGCTGACTGGTGGCTGGGGAATGGGGAAGGGAGGCAAGAGAGCAGGAGCCTGAATCTCAAGAAATGACATCCAAGTGGAGTTCAGAGACGCGACAGAGCCATGGGGTGGGCCTACCCACCCATTCACTAATGCATTTAATAGTGCATTTACTAGTGCCATTCACTAGTGCATTTACTAGTATCTGGTATGTGCCAGGAGTCCCTATGTGGTGCAAACTGTAAACATGCTCAGCTGCTAACCAGAAGTCTGGAGGTCCAAGTACACCCAGAAGTGCCTTGGCAGAAAGGTTTGGCAATCTACTTTCAAAAAATCAGGCTTTGACTGTCAACCACTAGGAGGGAGATCTATGTAGGAGGTCAGAAGATGGAGGAACTGTACCACTTCTGGAAGGGGATACAAGGCTTAGAGGTCTGGCAACAGGACTCAGCACCAGGTCCAGGCCCAGGCCACAGAGAAGAGCAGGCTCCCAGTGCAGGAGGACGGACAAAGCCTGGCCCTGCCCACCTTCTTGCCCCTCACCCCCCTGACCCCACTACCTAGGGTCAGACCAAAAAGAAAATTTCTCCAGCTTTGCTTGCCAGGACACAATGTCATTTCTAGATGAGCCTATCCAGCTCTGGAGATGTGCCAGGCTGCAGAGGTGGGGGGGCAGCTGTGTCCCCAGAACACAGCCAAGGAGCCGCCTGCCAGAGCCAGCCAAGGCATCAGCAGAAGTAGCGCTGGCAGGGGTCCCTGGTCCCAGCCAATGCAGGGACAGGCCGTTGATGGGGCCTCCATCTGCCCAGGCCTCAGTCTCCCTGCCAGATCTGGCATGTCGGCCTCTGCCAGCCAGAGGTGGGGGTCCCAGTCCCTCTCCTATTCCCTCAGGCAATGCACATTAATGCATTTATTAGTCCCTGGTGTGTGCCAGGAGTCCCTGTGTGGTGCAAACTGTCAACACACTCAGCTGCTAACCAGGAGTCTGGAGATTCAAGTACATCCAGAGGTGCCTGGGCAGAAAGGTGTGGCAATCTACTTTCAAAAATCAGGCTTTGACTGTCAACTACTAGGAGGGGATCTATGTAGGAGATTCTGGATAGAGTGGGAGAACAATGTGGAATAAAATTCAAAATCATTTAAAAAAAAGGGGGGGTGGTGGTGGCCAGGTTTGCTGGTCTGATAGAGCCTGGTGGAACCCCTGAAACTATGGCCCCTAGCTGCCCTGCAGGTCTGGAATTGAACCCACTCCTGCAGCTTCCAGCCAAACAAAAGACAGGCATATGAGCTGAACATTTACACTAGGTAGATACATTCCTTGGAGAGATCAGTCATGCTCGGGGGGCAGGAGTACATGGAGGGAAGGACACAGGGAAGAGGTAACTATGGGGAGGAAGTGGGAGGGGAGCTGTTGCATTGTGGGAAATTGTAGTCAATGTCATGAGACAAAGTGTATGTGAGCTGCTGTATGGAAAGTAAATTTGCTCTGTAAACTTTCACCCATATCACAATTAAAATTTAAAAAATAATAATTTAAAAAATCAGGCTTTGAAAACCCTATGGACCACAGTTCTACTCTGACACACATAGGGGCCCCTTGAGTTGGAGTTGACTGGTTTAGTGTAGCCCAGACGTTGTTCCCTTCCACAGGGATGGCAAGGGACAGTACCACATAAAGGACACAGACTTTGGAATCTGAGCGGCTGACTTTGATTTTCGCACTGTTTGTCTGTTGCTGTCTCTGAGCCTCAGTTTTCCAGTCTGTCAAGTGCAGATGAGCAAAACCCTTCCCCACGAAGGTGTTGTGAGGACTTAATAAACGCATGTGGAGAAGGAAATTATAATAGGCCTCCAGATGATAATAGGACTCTATACTCCAGAAATGTTGGCTGAAGCCCAAAGTTGACAACAATAGCAGAGAAATATCCACATCTTAAAAGACGTGGCAGAGAATCCACAGGATTTGGCGAGACTGGTCTTGTGTACCCCCACTAACTTGTAGAGAAGAAGGCTGGAGACTCAGGCTGGGAGGACTCACTTGAAGAGTTCCCTTAACAAGCTGAGGGAGGGGCTTCCAGGGAACCACCTGGAGAGGGCAGTGCCTGTCAGAAGGGAAACTGGCCTTTCTCCCTGGGTGGACCCTGGCTATTGCTGGCTTTCTGCCCCAGGACCACCTGAGGGGAGTGCACAGAGGGTATCCTCATGGTACTCAATGCACATCACCTGGAGTTTGGGGGACATGGGCACTGGGGCCTGGGGAAGTCTGGGGTGTTGCCAAACAGAGCAGCCTGCAGGGGTAGGGTGAGGTGAGAGGGCAGCAGCGATGGTGCTTGCACTTCCAGAGCATTGTTGTTGTTGTTGTTGTTGTATGCCATCAAGTCGGGATAAATGGGTACCAGGGAGGGGAGACAGGTTGGAGTGGTCACGGGCAAGGAGCTCCCCACAGGGCTGGCTGACAAGGCAAGAGGTTCAGCAGGAAGGAGCTGGAAGGGCAACACATGAAAAGTGGCAGAAGGGAAGCTGTGAGAGGACAATGGGCAGCTATGTCATCTGCATCAAGGAATCAAGCAATGCAAAAGCCAGGGCCACACTCACAAAAAAAAACTACAGACTCCTATCCTTATGAGTATAGATGCAAAAATCCTGAACAAAATAATAGCAAACCAAATTCAATAGCATATCAAAAGGATTACAAAGCATAACCAAGTGGTTTTTATCCCAGGAATACAAGGGAAATCAATCAGTGTTACACACTACATCAATAATAATAGTAATAGCCAGGTCAAGAGGCCCCCCCAAAAAACACAAAAATGCCCAAGAGAGGAGAAAACCAGAATTAGGCATCTGTCCCACTGACAGCACTGATGGCAAAAACAATTCAAGACACAGGAAATATTTTGCCCATTTCCTGCCATATTTCTTCACCTGCCCAATCCTGGGGAGCTCAGAATGGGAAGGGGAGCAGCGGTGGTGTCAGAAATGAGGGTCATAAAATGGAGGAAGAAGAATTAAATAAGTCTAGAGCTCCCTTTCTTCCCAGTGCAATGTTCTGGGCCTGGACAGCAGCTTCATTTGGAAATACAAGTGTGCATCACTTAATGTCCACAACACATTCTGTGAAATAGAATGCTATCTGATTTGGACATGAGAACATTATATTAAAACCTTATGGACACCTGCTTCCTCATCGCTGCTACTGCTGCTGCTGAAGCTGCTGGCAAAGACCAAAGGGACAGGTGGCAGCAACAGTGGTGGCCGTGAGGGCATTAGTGGGAGTGGAGAGAAAGGAAGCAAGCAAGGAGGGAGCGGAGCACAGCCAGCTTGCCCGCTGTTTTGCCTGCCTGAGCAGCAGGAGCAGCCTGGGCCCCACAGCCGATGCCACTTGCCTGCCTACTGGACAAAGCCTAGAAAGCCTGCTCCCAGAGTCATGTCCTCTGCCTCTCTCGACTATGTCCTACCCATGGTCCAGTGGTATAAGAATCTGGGTTTGGGGTCTTTAAAACCATTAAGGGGAAATAATAAACAACTCCCTCGCCCCCAAAAAAACACCCACTGCCATCAAGTTGATTTCCACTCATAATAACCCCATTGGGTTTCCAAGATTGTAAATCTTTACAGAAGTAGATAGCCTCATCTTTCTCCTGTAGAGTAGCTGGTGGGTTTGATCTGCCAACATTCTGGTTAGCAGCAAAATGCCTTATCCACTATGCCACCAGAGCTCCTAAGAAACAAAAAGAAAGCTGCTTTCCCTTTTATTTAAAAAAAAAAAAAAATTATGGGGCCACACATGTATATGTGGTCAGATATTACCCAAATGGACATGAAGTGACACATACTTGTATGACCAAAGTTTTTATTTAAATGACACTGGACATGTGGATTCATGACTGTGCCTGGACAAGCCATGGGACCTGGCCATGAATGGAAGACCCACCAGAACAGGTGGGAGACCAACAAAGCTGTGTGCTGATTTGTCTCTGAGCCTAGCCCGTTCAGTGAACCCAGTACACATCTGCATATGGACAGGCCCTCCCAGGTCCAACAGTGAATCCATGGGCCAGCAGAAAAAGCCATGAACCCAGGCAGGGGAGGGACTCTAGCCGTCTGACTAGGTCTGGGCTGGCATCATCTTCCCAGAAGTGGTAATCTTTTCCCATTTGAGAGGATAGGAAGGACAAGGCTGTAAGCAGGGAGGGGCAGGATCTGGTCCCTGCCCTTTGGGCTCCCTGTCTATGGATACACCATATACCATGGGCCCTAATGAGGGCCAAAGGCACACTGAGCCCAGGAAGGAGTAGTGAATTCTGATGAAAACATAGAATGGTCCAGAAAGTCTCTGTGAAGGAGGTGGCCTTTGAGTCTGGACTTACAGAAGGATTTCAACATGCACAGAAGAGGGAAACAGTGCCTCTAGTGGGGGAGAGTGGACACAGCAGAGACTGGGAGGTATGAGCGTCTCTGTGCTGGAATAGCCAGAGTGTGAGGCGCAGAAAGGGATGTGATAGGATATGGGTCTAGAAAACGTGATATTATCACGTCATCACCTTTAAAGCAGCGACCACGTTGGTGATGACCAATCTGAGCCTTTCTTTCCTCATCTAGAACCTGGGAGTAATTGCATTATTGCTTCTTGAGCTGAGAAGAGGAAAATGTCTCAGGAATAAATGATCCCATTGTCTCAATTCAAAGCATTAACCAGGAGCTCAGATGATATGCTTCAGAACTAGAAAGGTGTGGGTTCAAATCCCAGTTCTGTCCCTTCTTGGCTGTGTAACTCTACATAAGCTATTCCCACTTGAGCCTCAATTTACTCATCTGTAAAATGGGGTTAACAAGCTCTTCACAAAAGGAGTAAACATAATGCACATAAAGACCTGGCACAGGTCTTAGTTCCCTACCCACCCCCAAAAGCACCATCACTTACGTAGGAGGCTAGGAGTGTGGTTGGGGCCAGGATGAGAGCCAAGTAGAGGCAGGGGGCTGTGGCAAGCAGGCTGGAAGCACAGATGAGGGGCTCAGCCCTCGGGTTGACTTTCTTGTACCTCCTCGCAGCCTCTGCTCCCAGGATGACCCCAATGATGCCAGTCACAACGGTCAGGGCCCCAAAAATCAGGCTGATGGAAAAAGAGTGGAGAAAGATAGGTCAGTTTGGTGTGTGTGTGGGGGGTGTCAGGATAGAGGTCCTCCGATTCCAGCCACCTGCCCGAGGTGCATGATCTGGTTCCTACAAGGCACGTACCCCTGACTTGACCTACTCCTTCCCCCACCCCTGACCTCTGCTGGGGCCTCAGAACCCTGGTCAGAGGTCCATGGCCTCCCCTGTGCCCTTTCCTGCCTCACTCTGAGGATATTATCAACCATATGTGTGATCCACCTGGCATTCCAGCACCCTGTTCCCAGCCTGCCTCATCTCCCATGACCTGCTCTCATGACCCAAAGTATATCCACTCAGAAATCTTCATTCTAGCATCCCACTCTGGCCCTAACCCCCTCTGCTTCTAGCCTCAAATATTAAGGGAAGGGAGGCAAAAGTACATTTATTTATTGCACTCCTAAGGACCCCTGGAAGGAGCTCTGGTGGTGTAGTACCTAAGGCATTTGACTACTAACCAGAAGGTTGGCAGTTCAAACCCACAAGCCACTCCATGGAAGGAAGACTGGACAATCTACTTCTGTAAAGATTTACCACCTCAGAAACCCAAAGTGGGTCGCTATGAGTCAGAATCAACTTGATGGCAGTGAGTTTGGTTTGTTAAGGATCCCTGGTGGTGCAGCTGTTAACCAAAATTTGGCAGCTCAAATCCATCAGCCGTTCCACAGGAGAAAGATGAGGCAGTCAGCTTCTCGAAAGATTTACAGCCTTGGAAACCCTATGGGGCAGTTCTACTTTGTCCTATAGGGTTACTATGAGTCAGAATCAATTTGATGGCAGTGGGTTTGTTTGTATGATACACTCAGCCTGTGTCTGGGCAGTACTCACATACCCCTTTCTTAGATAGCACCTTCCACTCCCTGTCTTTGAACACCTCTCAAGTAGCCCCCTCTTGAATTTACCACTTTCCCACCTACTCCTGCACCCACTTCAACCCCACTTGGCTCCTCCTATGGCCATCAGTTCCCATAGCACCTTCCGTATTTCTACCATCAGGGTCATCCACTAGCCTTTGAATTCTTACGAACATAGAGCCTGACACTCAAAATGTGTATGTTGAGCAAATGAGCTCATTGATACTTCCCAGAATTCCCGGGTGGAACAGATGAGGCAGGCAAGGTTGAGAAAGGCTAAGGCAAAGATGGCTCAGAGATAAAATGACACATCTTTGCCCTCCTGGTCCATTCCACTCTCCGAAGACCCCTCTTAAAAGAGTTCAGGGGGACAGCTGAGACTATGCCTGCTGTGAACTCTTGAAAACACAAATCTAAACATGACCCTTTCCTGCTTCAAAACCCTCAGTAGCTCCTCATTGGACAAGCTTTTTGGCCAGCATCCAAGACCCTGCAGGACTGGCCCCTGCTGATCTACACATCCTTCCCTCCACCCTCCCTCCTCACCCTAAACAAATGATTGGGAATTCTCTCAACTCACCCTATCCTATACTTGCAGGTTCCCTTGGCCTGGAGCACTGTCCCCCTCACCCACCCTTCTCCACCTCTCTAGCATCCCCTTCCAGACCCAAACATTTCCAGAAGTGTGTGGGATGGCACAAGTATCCTGTTATTACCTCTGTGATTCCCACTAAGCCTAAGAACATAACAGGGACAGGACTACGGTTACTGACAAATTGGGTATCACAAACCATCTCTCCCCTAAACAAATTTCCGTGAAATATCCATCTTATGAGCTGAGGACTAGTGGGTTCATTTCCCCACTCCACCCCATCAGTGCATAAGAGAGAACAGGGAGCCCAGAGAGGGCAGGAACTTTCCTGAGGTCACATAATCCCTTCGGGTCAGAGCCAGAGCCTCTTGGTCCTCTGCCTACCAGACAGAGGCACCAAGGGCCTTAGGCAGCTTAAAAGTGCTCACGGGATCTTCCTAGCCTTCCCAGCTGTGCAAGGTCCTGGCTCGGTAACCCTGAGTCCTGGGTGAATGCCACCCACCTCTGAGCCCTAGTCTGAGCCGGCTTTGTCAGGTTCTCTAGACCTTTGTGAGACTTGGGATTAGTTGTTAGTCAGGAGGTAGCCTAGACAAGCCCCCCCTCCACTGGCCCCTGAGCAGGAGGTGTGATCAGAGGACACTCCAGCCACTTTTGAAAGGTTCTCCCCCATGCCCACAAGCACTTCCCAGAATCACAGACCTTCAGAGCCAAGAAGCCCCTTGTTGTCGTTAGATGCCATCAAGTTGATTCCAACTCAAAGTGACCCGTGTGCAGCAGAACGAAACACTGTCCAGTCCTGCACCATCCTCAAAATCATTGCTATGTTTTGGTCCATCATTGTAGCCACTGTGTCAATCCATCTCATTCAGCGTCTTCCTTTTTTCCATTGACCCTCTACTTTTCCAAGCATGATGTCCTTCTCCAGGGCCTGGTCCCTTCTGACAACATGACCAAATGATGTGAGCAAAACCTTGCCTCCTCACATCTAAGGATCACTCTGTCTGAACTTTTTCCAAGACGAGTTGTTCACTTTTCAGGCAGTCCACAGTGTCTTCAGTATTCTTAAGCAGCACATGATTCAAAGGTATCTTCCTCAGTCTTCCTTATCCGTTGCCCAGCTTTCACACGCGTATGAGGTGATTAAAAATAACATGCCTTGGGTCAGGAGGACCTTAGTCCTCAAAGTGCCATCTTTCCTTTTCAACACTTTTAAGAGGTCTTTTGCCATACATTTGCCTAACACAATACATTGTTTGATTTCTTGACTGCTGCTTCCATGGATGTTATGGATCCAAGTAAAATGAAATCCTTGACAACTTCCATCTTTTCCCCATTTATCACAATGTTGCTCATTGGCCCATTGGTGAGGATTTTTGTTTTCTGTCTGAGGTACAATCCATACTGAAAGCTATATAGTCTTTGATCTTCACCAGTAAGTGCTTCAGGTCATCTTCACTTTTAGAAGTAAGGTTGTTGATTGGTCTTCGTCCAATCCAGGTGCTGTATTCTTCTTCTTACAGTCCAGCTTCTCAGATTATTGGTTCAGGATATAGATTAAATAAGTATGATGAAAGGATACAACCCTGACACACACCTCTCCTGATTTTAAACCATTCATTATCCCCTTGTTTTCTTCCACCAGCAGCCTCTTGGTCTATGTACAGGTTCCTCATGAGCACAGGTAAGTGTTCTGGGATTCCCATAATTCTGAAATTATGTTATTCATAATTTGTTATGATCTACACAGTCCAATGCCTTTGCATAGTGTGGTAGTTCAGTTTGTGTGTCAACTTGGCTAGGCCTGGTTGAGTGGCTGGACAGCTGGATGTAGTATTCCCCATGATGAGACTGGTAATCAATTCCATGGTGGAATCTACTGTGAGCAGCTAAGTACCTACCTTAGGGATGTGGTCTGCTTCTTGTATATAAGCCGAAGCCTTGGGGAATGGTCTCTAGCTTATGGCACGTTTGGACTCTGCATGTAGCCATGTCGTTTTTCAGCCACCTGCCATACTCTGCTGACCTTGGGACTTACAATGGACTTGAATTAATGGCCTGCCATGTGGTTTGGTAACATCGGGACTGTCCCATTTTATTTGTCAACCTGGGGCTTGTCAGTCTCAGCAGCCAATAGCTGCCTGAGTGAAGAGATGCCTCTAGCTTCAGTGGGCCGGGAGCTGGAGGCAGAGCTAAAGCCCAAGGTCAAGGGGCTTTCACCCAGCCCCTAGAGCCTGGCACTTTGAACTCGGACTTCTAGCCTCCTGAACTGTAAGAGAATAAACTCCTATTTGTTTAAGGACATTCCATTTGTGGTACATTCTTGTCAGAGTGGTACTAGGTAACCAGAACACATAGTCAATAAAACACAGGTAAACATGTTTCTGGTATTCTCTGCTTTCAGCCAAGATTCATCTGACGTCAGTGATGATATCCTTTGTTCCACTTCCTCTTCTGAATCTGGCTTAAATTTCTGGCAGTTCCCTGTCAATGTACTGCTGCAACCACTTTTGAATTATTTTCAGCAAAATTTTATTTGTTTGTGATATTAATGATATTTCAATAGTTTCCACATTCTTTAGATCACCTTTCTTTAGATTGGGCACAAATATGGATCTCTTCCAGTCAGTTGACCTATAGCTGTCTTCCAAACTTGGCATAGACACGTGAGTGCTTTCAACATTGCATCTATTTATTGAAACATCTCTGCAAATCCTATTCTGGCTCCCAACATAATGACCATCCAGCAAATGACTATCCAGCACCTTATACATCCCTAGGGGTTGGAAGCTCGCTGCACATAATGCAGCCCCTTCCACCTGGACCAGCTCTGAGTATTGGAAGATCTCCCTCAGGCTGACACGGAATCTGGTGTCCTGCAGCTTTCTACCCCTGCTCCACCCTCACCCTCGGGTTTTTCCTAACCAAAGAGGTGTATTAATAGCTGAGGTCTGTGTAGAACCCCACATTGGGACCTTCCGTCTACTGCTCAGGCTGAATAATGACTCCCAGGATGTCGATGTCCTAAGACTTTGACTTTGCGGATGTGATTAAATTAAGGATGTTGAGATAGATTATCCTGGATTACCCAGGTGGCCCTAAATGCAACCATAAGTGTCCTCCAGAGAGGACCAGAGTGAGATTTAAGACAGAAGAGGCAAAGGCAATGTGATCATGGAGGCAAAGACTGGAGTGATGTTGCCACAAGATAAGAAATGCTGGCAGCCACCAGGGGGTACAAGAGGCAAGGCACAGATTCTCCCCTAGAGCCTCCAGAGGGAGCAGGACCCTGCTGATGTCCCTGACTTTGGCCCCACGAAACCCTGTGAACTTCTGGCCTCCAGAACTGTGAGAGACTACGTGTTTGTTGTTTTAAGCCACCAAGATTGTGGTAATTTGTTACAGCAGTCACAGGAAACTAATACACACTTCGACATCAGTTTCTCACAAAGGTTCTGGGAAGGAGATGAGTTGGAGGGAGGAGGGTAAAAAGCTGAGGAAAGGGGGAGTGACTTGCCCAAAACTCCCAAGCCAGAGAATGCCTTCAAAGCTGTGGAATTGGATCCTGTTTTTCCTCCACTTTTTCAAGTTGTTGTGAAACTCGTAGGACTCAGTCTTTGCCTCCTGGGAGATAAGAATTGAACTGAGGAGCCAAGACAAACATTACTTCTTCATACTTGTATACCTAATGCATTTACTCACAAGCTTTCCCTGAGCACCTAGCAGACCCAGCTAGGTGGAAAGATGTTCAAGTTAAACAACAGGAACGGGCAGTGTCTAGAGGCAACAGGATGTAGAGCTTAAGAGCATAGGCTTTCGAATCAGATGGATTTGAATCCTGCTTCTGCCCTCTCTTAGCTATGTGGCTTTGGACAAGTTACTTAACCTCTCTGAGCTCTCATCTCTCATAATATAGGAATACTAGGAATGCCTTCCTCAGATGGTACTCCTATTAAATACTTTGCATAGAGCCTGAACTAAAGCAAGGGATTGATAAACAGCGATGAGAAAAGGTGGAGAGAGGACACAGCCTGGGCAAAAGCACATACAAGTGAGAGTGTGGGGGACATTCTGATAATTACATGAAGCTCTGCTTGGCCATCAGCTCAGGGAAAGGGGCAGAGGCAAGAGAGGAGGCTGAAGAGAAGGAGGTAGAAGTAGGAGCTGCCAGCAAAGAACCAGAACCACGGATGCGCTGGGGAAGGAAGAAGCTCCAGGAAGGTCATAGAGTCCTTTGTTGTTGTTAGTTGCCATGGAGTCTATTTCAACTCACAACAACCCATGGGACAGAGTAGAACAGCCCCATAGGGTTTTCTTGACTGTCGTCTTTATGGATGCAGATCACCAGATCTTTTTCCCACGGAGCCACTGGATGGGTTTGAACTGCCAGCTCTTCGGTTAGCAGCCACATCTTTAACCTTGTGATCCTACAATTCCACTTCTTGGTATATACCCAAGAGACTTGAAAGCAGGGACTCAAACAGATGCATGTACACCAATGTTCCCTGCAACACCATTCACAAGGCCCAAAAGGTGGAAATGACCCAAACGTCCATCAACAAGATGTGGTACTGTATATCCATATGTTGGAATGCTTAATACTCAGTCATAAAGAGAAATGAGGTCCCGATACATGCTACAACATAGATGAACCTTGAAAACATTATAATGAGTGAAATAAGTCAGAGAAGGACAAATACTGTATGGTCCCACTTTATATGAAATATCTAGAACAGGCAAATGCATAGAGACACAATTTTTTCGTGGCTACCAGGGGCAGGAAGGAGGGAGAAAGAAGGAGTCATTGTTTAGTGAGCAGTGAGTTTTTGTTTATGGTGATGGATAATTTGGCAGCGAATCCTGGCGATGGTTGCACAACATGAAGAATGTCACTGGATTGTACATGTGAAAAGTGTTGAATTGGCAAAATGTTGTGTGATGTGTGTGTGTGTGTCCTTGGCAAATGTTGTGTGATGTATGTGTGTGTGTGTGTCCATTGCCATCAAGTCCACTCCCACTCACAGCGACTGTAGGACCGAGCAGAACCACCCCATAGAGTGTCCAACGCTATAAATCTTTACAGAAAGAGACTGCCTTATCTTTCTCCTGGGGAGCGGCTGGTAGGTTTGACCTGCCAACCTTCTGGTTAACAGCCAAATACTTCAACCATTGCACCACCAAATAGATAAAGATATATAGGTATAGATAGATAGATAGATTTTTTTTAAAACCACAATTTAAAAAAAAAAAAAAAAAAAAGCCCTGAGAAACTCTGAGGAAGCTTCCAGGGCAGAATCAGAGAGGAACAGGAAATCACAAGGAACCTTAAGATCATCAGCCTGAAAGGACACTAGGAGTGAGGGCTTCAAGGAGGAAAAGGCAAGTAAGAAAAAGATAAAAGGGGTCCTTGAGTCAGCATCAAAGAAGTCACTGGTGTCCTGAGAGAATGGAGTCAAAGGTGTGGGGCCAGCAGAGTGAGGAGGGACTAACCACGTGAGAAGAAGAGGGCATCCCTGAGAGCAAGGTACTTGCTAACTGTAGGCCCTTCATTTCTATGCTATTCCAGGACTCTTAGCACCTCAAATGAGGCAGAGAATGAATGAACGCATGCATAAAATCCCTAACCCCAGTTAGCAATGGTGGTATGCTATGCTTCTCAGTGCCTCAATTTGTCATTTGTAAAATAGGATGGCCTGACAGAAGACACTATGGGCCTCTCCAAAGGAAGATTGTCCAGGAATCCCGTCATCTCCCAGGCCCCACAGAAGCCTCACCTCCCACCCAGTACCCCCACAAAAGCCCCAATAATGGAAAGAGAAGGACTTGGGCCCAAAGAGGGCAAGGAAGCTGCCCATAGCCACCAGGGCAGCAGGGACTGAGCTGAAGCAAGAACAAGGCCTCCTGCCTACCAGGCAGTTCCCAGGCCTGTCTCTGCAGAGCACCGCAAGCCCAGAGAGACTGAGCTTTGAGGCTCAAAACCTCCCCACCACCTGTCACCTGAGTCGGGTGCCCAGGGCTCCCAGGGGTCCCTCACCTGTCCTGGCTGTTGCACAGCTCCTGGAGGCAGGGACGCTGCAGCCTGTGAACCACACGGGCCTCAAACAGAAACTTGGGGATCCAGAAGCCCAGGGCTCCAGTCACAAAGGCCATGGCTGTCACTCCCAGGGTCGACCACATAAAACTCCAGCTGTAAGAGAAGATGGCCTGACTGAAGCGGAAGAGGACCAGATTTGTACCTGTCCCCTCTCCTGGGCGTTCAGGGCGCCACAGGCTCCAGCTTCTGAGCAGCAGACTCCACGGCATCCCCTGAGAACACCTGCATATCCCACCTGCACACCTTTGCTCAAGCTGTACCTTCCTCCCTCCCCTCTAGAGGACCAAATCTCCTCATTTTGAAAGACCCACATCCAATATTACGTTCTCCCGGAAGCCATCCCTGCCCCTTCTTCTCCTAAGTCCTTTCAACTGGTCTTACGGCCCTGTAACAATGAGCACTATGCCCTGCCCGTGCCCCACATCTCAGTGAATCATGAGGCCTGAGAGTCCAGTTGACTCCTGTCCACCTCCTTGCCATGCCTGGGACAAAGGATGATATGGTCCCATGAAGCTTGAAGATTACGTCCATCGAATACATAAGGAAAGTGAGTCAGAGTCTTAACTCAGGGTTAAGTCGGAGGCAGAGCCAAGGCTGGAACCCATGCTACCTGCCTCTTTCCCAGGCCAAATTGTGTCACCTGGTGATGGGAGCTAAGCCCTAGGCCAGTGAGGGGCATGCCAGGTGATGAGAATGGGAACTTAGAGGAGGAAGAGAGCTTTGAATGCTGTGGCGAGGGCTCCCTGGAGGTGGAGAGAAGGAGGTGATGTAGATGGGGCTTTTCTGTGGCATGCAGTAGGGAACAGGGACACTCACTTTCTTACCAGGCATCTGACGTCCTCACACCAGCTGCTCCTCGGGCCCCCTGTGGCCACCTCCCCCTGCTTCTCAGCAGCTCCCCGGGGTGGGTCTGGAACCAGCAAGATGAGCAGGACCAAGGCCACGGCCTCCAGGCAGGGCATGATCTGGGGGTAGACGGGCCCAGCAGGCTCAGTGCTGTGTGCCCATGTCACAGGATTTCTGAGGTGACTGGCCACAGGGCCCGCCCTGGGGTCTGAACTCTGTGGTCCAGGCTCTCAGGATACACTGTGCCCTCGATGCAGCTAATTTTCTGGGTGCTGCTTATACACAGAGCTGGACATACCACTGTTTCTCATTCCTTATCCCTACATAGGGAGCTCTGATGGCATAGTGGTATTCAGCTGTTAACCAAAAGGTTTGAACCCACCAGCCATTCAGCAGGAGAAAGAAAAGACAGTCTGTTTCTGTAAAGATTACAGCTTTGGAATATGAGCTGAACATTTACCTGAGGTAGATACACTCCTTGGAGAGAACAATCGTGGGAGAAAGAAGGGCTGCTTATGCACAGGGAGACAGCTCAGGGGGCAGGAATGCATGGAGGGATGGACACAGGGAAGAGATAACTATCAGGAGGAAGTGGGAGGGGAGCTGTTGCATTTGGGTAAATTGTAGTCAATGTCATGAGACAAAGTGTATGTGGACTGCTGTATGGAAAGTGAATTTGCTCTGTAAATTTTCACCCAAATCACAATTTTTAAAAAATAAATGCTAGAGGGGAAAAAAAAAAAAAAAAAATTACAGCCTTGGAAACCCTAAGGGGCAGTTCTACTCTGTCCTACAAGGTTGCTATGAGTCGAGATCAACCCAACGGTAGTGGTTTTAGTGGGTACCCCTGTAAAGCACAGCCCTGGCATGATTTCAATGTTGATGCTGATCTACACAGCTCAGTGGGCCAAGGTGGTTGAGAGCTGAAGTCCAACTATGCTGACCCCAACTGTTGAGAACTGACTCCAGTTGCCCCAAGAACTGTCCTTTTTCCTGACCCATGTCTCCATCTGCCACATCATCCGGCCACAGAGTCCTCTCCTAGCGGTCCCCCTGCTCTTTTACCCCCAAGGACGGGGAGTTCACTGCCTGCCTTAGTGCAGCCTTTAAACAGCTCAGACCATGCAGACCAAGTTCAGGCCCACCTTTTTGAAGCTCACCCCACCTCCCAGTCTGACTCTGCCTTCCACAGCCTCACACAAACCAGCTCTGCAGAGATTTGCACCCAGAAAACACTTCTGAGGTTGCTTCCTCCAGGACCAAGTCCCCAGCCCCCTCTTGACATTGATCCCTTCCTCTTCTGATTGGTTATATTCTTGCCCAAGTCTGATCCAATGGGATTGAACCCCCAACAGGGCTGACCAGGTATTTTCCTGGGTATCCTGAGTAACCCTAGCTGCTGGTCCTTAAGGACTTTCTGTGTGCCCTGGCCTTGGACCAGGAATTTTTCATCCCTTGTCTCATTAATCCTAAAGATTCTATCAGGTAGCTCTTATTATCCACACTTCACGGGTAACAAACTGAGGCTCTGAAGACTGAGGCGATTTTCTTGACGTCACATAGTTAGTAAAATGAACCCAGGGTCACATTCCATAGCCCATGTTCCATATGAGCTCCCAAACACCCAACATCTGACCACCCCCCATGGCACCAGTTATCTTGCCAAGAGGCTAAGGCCATTGGAGCCTGGAAAGTCCCTGCCGGCCTGGAGCCAGAGGGGTGGGAGGAGCAGAGGGGAGAAAAGGAAGCTGAACTCACGCGGAGGGCCCAACGCCAGTTCCCAGTCAGCTCAGTCACAACAGACCCCAGCACGTAGCCCAGACCACTGCAACAGAGGAGCAAGGGAAAGGGGCAGTGAGGGCTGGGGCAGGGAGGCAACCCAAAACCAGTTTGGCCACGGTGCCCCCATCCCTAACAGTCAGCCCTCAGCAGGCTCATAGTGCTCAGAAACACCAGGAAAGTGAGCCACATGAGGCCCAGATGTCCGCTGCCCTTGGTCAACTCACCAGTGACCTTTGGCTCCTGCGCCATGCCCAGCGCCACTCTCTCCCACATGAGAACTCCCCACCCAAGGCTCAGCCCTGCCTGAGTCAGGCGATTTCAGGAAACCTGGGTCAGAGTTCAAGGGTCTGGCTGGAAATCCCACTCTGCCCCATCCTCTTTGGGGTGCAAGGCCTGCCCAAACACACTTCGTTGTATCGTACCCTAAAGCAGTGGTACCCTAAGCAGGACCCACGGCACACTGCCCTTCTCCCCACTTCTAGGAGGGAACTAACCAGTGGGAAGCATCCTTATTATCTCTCATACTCACCACAGCCCGTGAGTGGGTGTTATTGCCCCAATTTACAGATGAGGAAAACTGAGACTTAGAGAGATATGGTTACAAAGGGGTGGAATTGGGATTTCAATCCCATCTCCTGGTTTGATCTCTCCTACCCTCAGCCCAGCCCATTCTGATTCCTTTGGGCCTCAGTTTACCACCCGGGGAAGTGGACTCAGGATTGATACTAACCTTCCAACAGGGATGAAGATGTAGAAGATGGCCAGCACTCGGGTCCGTTGGTCCCTCACGAAGAGGTCACCCAGGACAGTGGGTGCGATGGTAGAGTAGCTGGCTGTGCCGGTGCCCACAACACCCCGGGACAGAAAGAAGAGCCAGGAATACTGGGTGGGCCATGCACAGAATCATGGTGAGTTCCAGAAACCACCCGAGGGCAAGATCCGAGGATTTGTCAAAGGGCTCAAGGGGACCACGTGACATGTGTCTCCATGGGAGGGAGAGGGGATCAGGGCTGTGGACACCTCATCATCCTTGGCAACCCCAGATTCCCAAAATCTCACAGCTTCTCCCTGCCGGTACCTGCAGCCACCACCTCCCCTCGCGGCCAGGGGAGCCCATCTCCAGGTCACTGCCTTTGCTAACCAGACTGAGTCCTGAAGATAGTAGCTGGCATCCTACACCCACACCCCGAGCAAAGTCAGGCAGAAGTGAAGCCACAGGCAGCACTGGCAGATGCAAGAGAGGAAGCCTGTTATTAGGCGAGTCTAAGTGGCTCTGGCGCCTGAGCAGGCTTGGGCTTGGAGGCTGCGCCTGCACCTTCTCTCTCAGCCCTGGACGGTAAGTCCCAAGACTGGAGAGGAGCCTAGAAAGGAGCAAACTATCACCCCTCAGCACCCATAGTTCTGGCTCAGGGAGGAAGCAGGCAGGGGAACACACCTGGGAGGAGATGAAGGAGCTAGAGAGGCCAGCTCCTGACCAGAGCAGGATCCCAAAGCTCAGCGTTGCCTTGCGGCTGTGTCGGTCTCCCAGGTAGCCAAACACGGGCGCAGAAAGCAGCAGGCAGCCAATGAAGACTGGGGGAGACATCAAAGGGTAGCATGAGCCCTCCCCCACTACCACCAAGATCCATGGCCGATAGCCCAGCAGGTCCGTGGAGAGGGCCTGACCCAGACATCATGAGCTGGCCCCAGGACAGTGGATCCAGACATGGTGATGAAAAGATGACATGACTCTCCCAATTCCCAGCCAACAACTCAGCCCAGAGTGGGGGTGACTAGGAAGTGTGTGGGGATCTGGGGCCTGGGTTCGAATCCAAGCTCAGCTACTTGCTTACTGTGTGGCTTTGGGTAACTAGCTCCCCCTCTCTGAGCATCATCTCAACAATGAAGCCATCAACATCCCATCTTCCTAGAAGATGAACAGGGAAGGTAGAGTCCTGGAACAGAGCCTGGCATGTTCAATGGACACCAGTTTTCTGCCTTTACTGGAATTTCTAACTCTTGGGAGCCCCACGGTGCCCCCTGCCCTTTTTGAATATTGAGGTTGCTTTGATTTATCACTCCCACACCTGTTGTTAAGGGGCATGTGGTCAGTGGTAGAATTCTCACCTTCCATGTGGAAGACCCAGGTTTGATTCCCAATCAATGCACCTTGTGTTCAGCCACCATCCATCGGTCAGTGGAGACTACTTTGTTGCTATGATGTTTGTGGTAGTTAAGGTTGTTGTCAGCTTGGCTGGGCCCTGTTGAGTGGCTGGGCAGCTGGGGGTAGTTATTCCCTATTATGACACTGGCAATCACCTCCATGGCGGAATCTGCACGAGCAGCTGAGTAGCCACTTTAGGGGTGTGGTCTGCTTCCCATATATAAGGAGAAGCTTTGGGAATGGTCTCTAGCCTTGGGGCCTACTTGAACCCTACACATTGCCAAGTTGTTGTTCAACAGCCTGCCATGCCCTGCTGATCGTGGGACTTCCTCTGGATTTGAATTAGTGGCCTGCCATGCCATTGGGACTGTGCCTTTTTAATTGTCAACCTCGGGTTTGTCAGCCTCAGCAGCCAGCAGCTGACTGAGTGAAGAAAAGCCTCCAGCTTCAGTGGGCCGGGAGCAGGAGGCAGAGCTGAAGCCCAAGGTTAAGGGGTTTCCACCCAGCCCCTAGAGCATGGCACTTTGAACTCAGACTCAAAGCCTTCAAAATGGTAAGAGAACAAACTCCTGTTTGTTCAAGCTATCCTGTTTGTGGTATTTTTCTGTTAGAGCAGCACAGAAGTGACCAAAACAATGCTGAACAAGCTGAGATGGGAAGAAAGGCCTGGTGATCTACTTCTGAAAATCAGCCAGTGCAAACCCTGTGGAGCACAACAGCTCAGTCTGCAGCCAATCCTGGAAATGGGGCAGGAGAGAGCATGGTGTCGCCATGAGTTGGGAGCCAGCCAACTTGACACCAGCAAACAAGAGCACTTCCTAGGATGAGAGTCGTGGCAGGAGGAAAGGAAAGTCTGCTTGAGGCCTGATTTCATAGCAGATGAGCACAGGAATGAGCCCATTGGTTATAAACCCAGGAGGCCGGGAAAGAGCTGCTTTTCCTGAGTACGTAAAACATTCCCCTGACCTGACAGTTGTATTTATATAATCAATTTTTAAATTAGACTCTTATTAATATTGCCTGCTGAATTAATGGGAGCGCTGGTGGTGTAGTGCCTAAGGCATTTGACTGCTAACCAGAAGGCTGGTGGTTCAAATCCACCAGCCACTCCTCGGAAGGAAGGTTGGGCAATCTACTTCCATAGTGATACCGCCTCGGAAACCCAAGGAGGAGTAGCTATGAGTCGGGTCCGACTCGATGGCAGTGAGTAATAACTGAATTCATGAATGTGGTTGGTTATTTAACAAAGACAAAGATATTGCCACATTTTTGTTTGACTATAATACACGGGTGGGAGCTCTGGTGGCATAGTGCCTAAGGCATTTGACTGCTACCCAGGAGGCTGGCAGTTCAAATCCCCCAGCCACTCCTCGGAAAGAAGATTGGGCAATCTACTTCCATAGTGATACCACCTCGGAAACCCAAGGAAGGGTCACAATGAGTCGCAATTGACTTGACAGCAGTGAGTTTGATTTTTTTTTTTTACAATGCATGGAATCCCAGGTGGTGCAAATGGTTAAGGCACTTACTGCCAAGTGAAGGTTTGGAGATTTGTCCACCCAGAGGCATGTCAGAAGAAAGACTTGGCAATTATTCTGAGAAATTAACTATTGAAAACCCCATGGAACGTAGTTCTGCCCGACACACATGGGGTCATCATGAGTGGGAACTGACTCAACAGCAACCGTAATACATGGATACGTGCACACAAGGCTCCCTTTCCTTACAGACAATCACCTTCCACCTCTGGGGTTGGTGGGCTCACCGCCTCCAAGCTGGACAGTCCAGGGAACCCGCTGCCTGGGCTAAGCCATGAAGAACCAGCAACAGCCAAAGATGGAAAAGGAAAGTTCTGAACCCTCCTGCACCAGATCCCAGAGTTCAAGGGCTTCAGGCCATAGAGGCCCCTGCCAAATATCTGGGTCTCCACTCATCTGTTGAGCACAAATGATTGACACTTTCTGAGCCCAATGAATGATCAGATTCTTCTCAACTCAGGCTCCATTCCCTCTCACTCCCCACCCCGCCCCTGCCCCACCCCCACCCCATGACTCACTCTAGTATTAGGTTGAGCCATATTCAGTTGCTGAAATTAGGCCAGTTTTGACCTACAAAAACGGCAATTTAATATGGTTCAAACTAATGCTTCCACAGAGAATAATCTCTGGTATCAATGGCATTTAACATTTTAATAGCTACTGCCCCCCCCAAAAAAAAAAAAAAAACTCCAAAAAAGCCTGTATCAATTTCCACTACAATAGAAGTATGTGCCAGTGGCTTTGCTGACACTTGATACAACTGATCATTTTCTTTTAATAGTTGGAAAACAAATGGGATCTCACTGATGTTTCAATTTGCATTATACCCAGCAAGTTTGAGTAAGTGTTCTTATGTTTGCAATCTACGCCCATTTTTCTATTGCACTGTTGCTTGACTTTAATACATTTTGTATTGAATAATCTTCCCAGTCCTTTATATTAAAGAATTAAAAATGTAAGCTCTAGGGCTAAACTAACCAGTAAAACCAGGTGCCATGGAGCTGACTCTAAATCATGGTGACTCTGTCTGTGTCAGAGTAGAAGTGTGCTCCAAGTGTGTTGTTGTTGTTGTGTGCTGTTGAGTCAGACCTGACTCATAGCGACCCTTCCTTGTGTTTCCGGGGTGGTATCATTGCGGAAGTAGATTGCCCAAACTTCCTTCCGAGGAGTGGCTGGTGGATTTGAACCGCCAGCCTTCTGGTTAGCAGTCAAGTGCCTTAGGCACTATGCCACCAGAGCTCCCATAGGGTTAGTAGTGGCAGATTTTTCAGAAGTAGATTGCCAGGCCTTTCTTCTGAGATGCCTCTGGATGAAGTCAACTCTCCAACCTTCTGATTACCAGCCAAGCATGTTAACCATTTATACCACCCATTAGAGACTATTAAATAAAATAAAGGGCAGTGAATGCCTTCATGTATAAGCTGAACAAATGTTATTTTTTATTATTATTACTAAGTACATTTATGGCTTCAATCACCATCACACAGAATGTATCACTATTCCTTTAGGAGGATTGTGGTTTTGTTTTTTCCATTGTGATTTGGGTGAAAGTTCACAGAGCAAATTCGTTTGCCATTCAACAGTTCATACACATTTTGTTCCATAACACTGACTGCAATTCCCCACAATGCAACAGCTCTCTTCTCACTTCCTCCCTGTGGTTACCTTTTCCCTGTGTCCTTCTTTCCTACACATTCTTGCCCTCTGAGCTTTCTCCCTGAGCAAATGCTGCCCTCTGATTTCCCATGCTTGATTCTAAGGAGTGTACCTACCTAGCATAATTGTTCACCTCGCAGACCGGTCTATTGTTGGGCTGGAAGTTAAGCGATGAGAGTGAATTCAATTGGAGACCTGAGAGGTGACTGAGGACCATTGTCTCGGGGATTTCACCAGTCTCTATCAGACCAGTAAGCCGGTCTTTTTTTATGATTTTGAGTTTTGCTCCATTTTCAGGAGGAATGTGTCTAATGTCTTATTTACACGTAAATCCTTTACCCAAGAGTTACGGAAAATATCTCCTCAAATCTTCTAATACATTTACAGTTTTGTGGAGCACGGACCCCTTACAAGACACAAATGTCTTAAACCTGCAGATGGAGACCTGCCCCCAAAGAGAAGGCAGCAGTCCTCATGCCTAGACTCTCCAAATTCCAATCATTTCTGTGGCAGACCAAACCAAACTCACTGCCGTCAGGTTGATCCGACTCTTAGTAACCCCTCCTTGGGTTTCCAAGGCGGTATCTACAGAAGTAGATTGCCCAACCTTCCTTCCAAGGAGTGGCTAGTGGGTTTGAACAGCCAGACTTCTGGTTAGCAGTCAAATGCCTTAGGCACTAGGCCACCAGAGTTCCCTCTGTGGCAAGGTGGGAGTAATTAATGAGCGCAAGGGTTAAGAGATGGATTCTGCAGGCAGACTGCCTGGGTTCAAATCCCGGCTCTGCCACTTACTAGCAATGTTACCTTTGACAAGCTCCATAAACTTTCTGTGCCTCAGCTTCATCATCTGTAAAACAGATAATAATAATACCTGCCTCATGAGATTGTTGTGAAGATTAAATGAGTAAATATTAGAAAGCACTTAGAATCTTGCCAGGCAGTGAAATCAGAGTTAGTTTTAAATATTATTAATTAATTAACTAACTCCATTCAACAGCCTCTCTGTCTCATGTAGGGAGGTGTGACCACTGCTTCCCCCATCCCCACCCTTGCCCTCATAGCTACCCAAGCTCTCTGTCAATTTCCTTCTCTCTGCAGCCTTATGGACAGGCAGCAGGGGGCGCCTTAGGGCCATTGCACTTTGACCAGAAAGGCGAAGAGACTCCTCTGAGGTCATCCAGTGATTAGTGCTGGAGACAAGTCTGATCACTGGGCCTCCAAGCCAACTGCTCTTTGTAAAGCCCCTTCTTGGATCAATTTTGCAAAGATGGCCCTTCCCTTCAGTCACCTACAAATATATACTCACACACACAGACATCCATGCACACAGTAACTCACACACATTATTAGCATACTCACACACACATCCTCACCACATACATACATATCCATACACACACTAACACACATTAACACACTTACATACATTTCTACCCCACACCTAACACACATACATCCATGCAACATACACACATTAACACATTCATGCACACACACTGACACAGAGATTCATGTACAACTAACTCACATACATTCTCATACACACATTCCCACCCACACACTCACATCCACCCACATCCACACACACTTCTCCCTCCACAGCATCTCATTTATGAAGGGCCTTGGAGTAATAATCCTATTCACCATAAGAACCAGGGTTGCAGAAAAGGGTCAACCAGGGTTGATTCAATTACCATTATCTGTTTAATTGAGAAGGTTGTAGTCATTCAGCTGAAATGATCTCCCTTGGGCTGGAAATACGACTAGAAGTTGTCTCCAGTTGGCAGCCAACTGCCCAGTCTCCCAGCCCTGAGACTGACAAACAATTGGAAAAGATTTGTCTTCTAAAGCAGTGGTCTTCTAACTTCTGCTCAGGTGACTCTTAAAGAACTATGTACTCCTCCAGGAGCTCTGGTGGTGTAGTGATTACACATTGGGCTGCTAACCAAAAAATGAGCAGTTCAAACCCACTAACCACTTCATGGGAGAAGATGAGGCAGTCTGCTTCCATAAAGATTTCTACCCTTAGAAACCCCATGGGGCAGTTCTACTCTGTCCTAAAGGGTCACTATGAGTCAGGACCGACTCGATGGCAGTAGGTGTGTACCCTCACATGCTTTCAGCTGACATTTAAAATATTTTCCTCAGATATTTAACTAATTACAAAGGATGTGATCTCTGGAATTACTGCATGTGTTTTAAAAGTATTTTTTCATCCAATCCTTAGTCTTGAAGATGGAATTCATTCTTCTTATGGGAAACATCCACCACAGTCTAATTAGCAAAGCCAATCCTCTTTCATTAAACCCAGTAGCCAAATCAGACTGACTATCTGTAAGGAAATTGTTGGCTTCATTTTTTCATTGAAATAAATGTGTTAACACCATCCCCGAGACAACCATATCTCTACTGAATCCTAATTTGGAGATAAATAGCAGACAGCCACACATCGGGTGAGCCAGATAAGGGCTGGCGTCTTGCCATGGGTTTGTGGCCTGGAGGAACCAGCTCCAGCCTTGATGCTCTCCTTGCCTTGTTTCCAAGTCTCCCCAGCAGAAGTCAAGTATCCACCAGGGGTCCCTCTCTTTAGCCCCCGAGAGGTTGCTGCACCCCAGGACAGTGCACCACAGTAAACTCCCCTGTTGGGCAGCAATGTATCTTTCTGCTTAAAATGGAGGAAAATAACTAGTTGCCATGGAGTTGGTCCTGAGTCCTGGTGAGCCCATGTGTGTCAGGGGACAGCTGTGCTCCATGGGGTTTTTAATGGCTGAGTTTTCTGAAGTAGATTGCCAGGCCTTTCTTCCAAGGCACCTCTGGGTGGGCGCAAGCCACCAACCTTTGGGTTAGCTGCTGAGCGTGTTTACCGTTTGCAGAATTGGTGGAAAGGTGATAATAAAAGGGGAGGTGAGACAGGAGACTGGCAGCAGCCCATAGGCTTGTTTTCAGCAGATCCAGGTCAGGGGAGAAATGTTCAGGCCTTGAGATCTGGAAATGGATTGTCTGGAAAGTCTCTGTGCTCACGTACTCCCTGGAGAGTTTTTGTGTACCCCAGCTGGAGAGCCCTTCTAGAGCTTTGAGGTGGTGGACTGTTTGGAGGAAGGAGGGACCACAAGAGAAGAACCCATATGTGTGCTAATTACAGGTTGGTGTGTGCACACGTATGTGTCATGTGTTGAGATGGTGTCCACAGATATGTGAGTACATGTGTGTCTGTGTTATAGATAGAATTGTGTGTCCCCAAAAATATGTGTTGTAAATCCTAACCCCTATATCTGTGGTTATAATTCCATTTGGGAATATTTTTTCTTTGTTATGTTAATGAGACACAGATTAGTTTAGAGTGTATTTTAAATCAATCCCTTTTGAGATATAAAAGAGATTAAACAAGGAAGCAAGAGAAACAGTTGTTGTTGTTATTTGCCATTGAGTCGGCCCTGATTCATAGCGACCCCTCCTTGGGTTTCCGAGGCAGTATCACTATGGAAGTAGGAATGCCCAACCTTCCTTCCGAGAAGTGGCTGGTGGGTTTGAACCACCAGCCTTCTGGTTAGCAGTCAAGTGCCTTAGGCACCATGCTACCAGAGCTCCTAAGAGAAACAGAGAGGAGGGAAAACAGATGCCAAACCACATCAAGATCACCAAACCAAAGACTAGAAACTGAAGAAACAAGGGCCTTCCCCAGAGCTGACAGAGACAGAAGCCTTTCCCTAGAGCTGGTGGCCTGAATTCAGACTTCTAGTCTCCTAAACTGTCAGAGAATAAGTTTATTTGTTAAAGCCATCCACTTGCAGTATTTCTGTTATAGCAGCACTAGAGAACTAAAACAGTGCGTCACTATCCAGGTGCCCACAGGGGAAAAGTTAGTGCCTCGTGACCCCAAAGACTTGTAAAGGGCATGCTGTAAGCTCCCGGTGGGCCCAGAACCCACGGGAGCCCATGTGGAGGGATGTGTCTGCATGTGTCTGTGTGTCCTGGTGGTCAGGTTTTTCTGGTCTGCTAAGGAAAGCACGAGTCAGGATTTCTAGCCTCCAGTGCACAGCTGTGCTTAACAAATCCCAAAGAACTGCACGTCTGACACCACAGCTGTGGTCTATGCTTAGGTGCCTTGTCCAGCCCACTCCCACTGCTTGGGCTGCAGCTCTCACACTCAGACCGGAAGGAGCTGCTGGAGTGCTAGGTCTTTGCTCACACTGGCTCCTCCTCCTACCCAGACTGCCCTGCATGCCTGTGGTGGTTATGTTTGTGTGTCAACTTGGCGGGGCCTGGTTGAGTGGCTGGGCAGCTGGTGGTAGTTATTCCCCATGATGAGACTGGCAATCAACTCCATGGTGGGATCTACCACAAGCAGCCAAGTAGATGCCTTTGGGAATGTGATCTGCTTCCTGTATATAAGGAGAAGCCTTGGGAATGGTCTCTAGGTTATGGCACGCTTGGACTCTGCATGTAGCCGTGTCATTGCTCAGCAGCCTGCTATGCTCTGCCAACCTTGGGACTTACAATGGATTTAAGCTAATGGCCTGCCGTGTAGTTTGGTAATATCAGGACTGTGCGTTTTGACTTGTCAACCTTGGGGCTTCTCAGCCTCACCAGCCAGCAGCCATCTGAGTAAAGAAACACCTCTAGTTCCAGTGGGCTGGGAGCAGGAGGCTGAGCTGAACCCCAAGGTTGAGGGGCTTTCACCCAGCCCCTAGAGCCTGGCACTTTGAACTTGGACGTAAAGCCTCCAAATTGTAAGAATAAACTCCTGTTTGTTAAGGCCATCCCATTTGTGGTATATTCCTTGTCAGAGTGGCACTAGGTAACCAGAATAATGCCCAAACCCCATCATCCTTAGTGTTTCCTTCTCAGGCTTCATAGTGGACTTGATTTCCCAAGGGCTGAAGTTGGGCACAGAGCTTCACCCATCCTGAGCCCAGGGCCCAGCTCCAGGACCAGGGACTGGCTCCTTACCAGTCTGAAGCAAACCCGCGTTGCTGTCACTGATATGAAAAAACTTCTGCACATCCAGCAGCACTCCTGTGGACAGAAGGGAAGTGCTTAGGAGTGGGTAATAGTCTGGCGAGGGCAGGTCTCTAAGGGCAGCTGCCTCTGCCTTTGGGACTGGGCCACAGATGACCAGCATAGCACAGGGCCTGGCACCTGGACCAAAGGCACAGACATACATACACATACACTTACACACAAGCCCACACCCACAATCATCAACACATAGTCACGGAGACACATAAACACGGACACACACATATGCATATGCATACAAACAGGCGTTCCTAGAGAAATATACCCACAGGCACAGATAAACACACACTTACATGTAAGCCCAGTCTCATACAACCACTCATGCACATATACATTGAGATATGCACAGACAGACACACCCACAGGCATACATACACATATACACATGCAGGGCTGCCATTCACATTATAGTCCAAGTGACTGGCAGCTCCCCCTTGCAGCACAGTGCCCAGCCAGTCACTTAGACTACAGAGTAAATGGAAGTCTCCAGAGCTGTGCAGCATAGCAGACAGACACAGACATGCATATGCACAAATGAACACGTTACACAAAGACATGTGCACCATGACCTGCACACGTATACACAGAAGCATGTTCAACCACAGGCATGAGTACACTTAAGAGTGTACACACAGAGCCTCAGAGACTTAGGTCCCACGTATGTCTGTCCTCAGTTCACCTCCCTGAGGATGCAACCTCCTGCTCTGCACCAGGCAGGGCTCTGAAGCCCCTCTAAGTTTTTGCTAAGCCATGGGCTGTTTCTGTCAGCACTGAGTCTAGTACAGAGAGAGGAAGCAGGCCCCCAGACTCTGGACTCTGTTCCTTGCAATCCTCTTGGCCACTTGGTGGTATTTTAGAAAGGGCTGGTCAGAGTCTGTGGCCCCTGCTCAGCTGGGCTGTAAGGCTCTGGCCCTGCCGTTATCATTCAGAAATATCATCATCATTTCCCTTCAACTCTGAGATGGCTGAGAGCCAGGTCCTGCACTGGACACTTGCAATTGTTACCCTAAAAGGTAGGGACCATCTTTGTTCCCATTTTACAGATGGGGAAACAGAGGCTCCAACCTGTGCCAGGCTGCACGAGTGGAACTTGGATCCCAGCCAGAGATACCCTACCTTCCTTCCTGGGCTCAAGAGGTACTATAAAAAAAACCCGCACAGTGGGGAAGGAAGCCCCCGCATCCACACCCCCAAGACCTGCCAGCTGGTAAAGAAAGATCAAAGAATCAAAGAAGCAAAATAAGAAATTTTTGTTCAGATATTTGATTCGGACTCCATCACCACTGCACCCAGGTGTACAAACCTCTACATCCTTTTCCCCCTTTTAATGTTTTTGATCACATAAATAAGACATATTCCTTGCAGATAACAATAGACAATACAGGTAAGCAAAATAAATTGCTAAATACAAATTTTCTGTGAGTGCATTTTTAGGAATGGGAAATAGTCCTTTGTCTTCTCTCCTCCAGGGTTCCTCCCAGCACTGTGACATTCTGGGGGTGGCTGGGGGCTGGGCCCCAAAAAAGGCTATTTCACACAAGGGAATTTTAGCTGCTATGCGTTCTAGCCACCTGCCCACAAAAGTCGCAAAGGCACTATGCACAGTTTCACTTCTCCAGGCCTCTATCGTCTGGACGGCTTCCTTCTCCCACAACCAAGGGAAGTGAAGGGAGGAACCTCAGCTAGGCAGAACTCAGGGGCTGAGGCCCAGCCAGGACAGCTGGGATGTCCATACCCATGCTGGCTTCCTCCTTCCCTCCTCTTCAAGCCCTCGCCCACACTCCTACTCAGGCCTCCTCACTCAGACCTAATCCATTGCAGTAGCCTCTGAGCTGACCTCTGTTTCATTTTGCCTCCATCAGGGCCTCAAATCTGATGCTATCCCTTCACTTTAAAAAAAAAAAAAAGTGCAGAATTTGCACTGGGGGATAGCTCAGAGGGCAGGAATGCATTAGAAAGAAGGACACAGGGAAGAGGTAACCACAGGAAGGAAGTGGGAGGAGAGCTGTTACGTTATGAGGATTGCAATCAACGTCATGAAACAAAATGTGTATGAATTGCTATATGGAAAATGAATTTGCTCTGTAAACTTTCATCCAGATTGCGATTAAAGAAAAAAAAAAAAGAAAAGAAAAACTTTCTGTGGCTCCCCATTCCCCAAAGGAAAAAGACCAAGTACCCAGCTTGTGGTCCAAAAAGCCCATGATCTAGACCTAACCATCCTCTTCTGAGTAATTTCCTCTTTATCCCCCTGTCCCCACCCCTGATCAGAATATGCAGTTTAACCCCATGTGCCTTGGTGCAGGCTGGCTGAGTGTGCTCTCCTCACTTCATTCCCACCTTTCCAATCTTCTCAGCTGTCGAGGGCCAAATTAAACACCCTCTCCTCTGTGAGTTCTGTCTGACCCCTCAGTCATCTATCCTTGGGGCTCCAGCTGACATTCACCCTTCTCTGTCCTATCTTAGACAGAACGTGTGCTCTGTGTCCCCCTGAGCACCTCAAAGATGGAAACCAGATCTGGTAATGTCTGAAACCCTGAGGTTCCACTCATTCATAGCACTCTCTAGTGTGCACAGCTGGTAACCAAAGAATCGATGTCCTGGCCTCAGAGAGGCTGGGCTGCTGCAGGCCCCTCGGTGCTCCAGCCTGGCCTGTGCCTCCCTCCTCCGGCTGCATCTCTCTGCCTCGCAGGATTCATTTAATGAGCCTCTCCCTCGGCCTCACAGGATGCTCATTCCTGAGGTCAGGCCAGAACTACAAACCTGACTTCCCTCCCTGGGTCCCCAGGGCCCACCAGAGGGTTCTGTCTATAGTCAGTGCTCAGTCAATCTTGAATGAATGAAGGAGAAAGTCAATGAGTGACAAGAAGAGAAAAGAAGACTGAGCCTCCAATCTGAGTGAATGGATGAATGAGTAAATGAGTGAGTGTTGAGAAGACAGAACCTGTGGAGCCCTGGGGTCTACAGGAAGGAAGGTTGAAAGTGCTGAGTCTGCAAGCAACCTGAGGTCCCAGAAAAAGCCCAGAAAGAGTGGTCTCCGAGGTCAGCCAGACTGCCCTGTCCTCCACAGCCTCACCCTGGCTGACCCATCCAGAACCTCAAAGCCTTTGCCTGGAAGACCCAGTCTCCCTGCTGTCTTCACCCACTCACACCCCATCATGTCCTCTGCCCCCTCACCCACTTTGCACCTTCCTAGCTTCTTAGGGCTGGATGGGGAACTTCAATTCCCCACCCCCACCTTCAAGCATGGCTGGAAACTACCTCTAGGGGTGAGAATACCAGAGACCTGCTGCAAGAGAACAAAGGCCACTGGCTGGAAGGCCACTGTGGGATACACAGCCCCCAGCTGGTAGCAGAGCAGCCAGTGGGTGGAGCAACAGGCCGTCCTGCTCCAGATGAGGCCCCCATCCTCACCCGCAATGATGAACCAGTTCATGTAGTTCAGGAGGTTGATGTAGCAGAGCACTGCAGCTGCCACGTAAGCTCTCCAGCGGGGTAGTCTCCAGGGGATGAGGGCAGTCAGAGAGGGTGGCTGGTCTGAGGCCAGAGTCCCATAGTGCCCGCCGAGCCCCTCTGGCTTTGGCTCCCGGCGCCCTGCGGACATCCCCACAGACGCGCCAGCCTGCAGCTCCTGTTGTGGGACGGGTGCCGGGGTGAAGACTATCAGCTCTGCACCGAGTCACTTCCTGTGTGCTCCCAGCCTCCCAACCTCTAAGCAGCTGCCCTAACTGCTGGGCATCTTATCACAGGTTCCTGCCGAGCCCACCGCAGCCTCACCAGTGAGGTTTCACCATCCTCAGCTCTGAGGCCTGCCAGAGGGCAGACGCTCTTTGCACATCCACCCTTGGTGACTGGACAACTCTGTGGTCCCCTTGATCTAACCAGTAGCTGCAGAGAAGATAAGAAGCTTCACAGGACAGAAAATGCGGTGACACCAAGACTCCTAATCCTTGCGAGGGGGGCTGGCTGCCTACACTAAAGATGGACTATGAACAAGAGGCTTGAACCTGGGTCAAACCCCCGAGTCTGGGATGGCCAGGAGAATGCACTGGAATAGGATTGTCAGTGAAGGCTGGTGCCTGCTCGGGGCCAGATGTCCTCTCTGGAGAAAGGAAGAAAGTTAGCAGGCAAACCTCATCGATGGATGCTAAATCCAGGGCCAAATTTCTGATGAAGAGCAGGATATGGCCTTAAAGCAGGTGTGGTCTTAAAGTGTCTCTCTGTCATTGCTTACTGTTGTTGGGTGACTCATGGTAAACCCACGTACAGCAGACTGAAACATTGCGCAGTCCTGCACCAGCCCCATGATTGGCTGTGGCTCAGACCATTGTGATCCATAGGGTTCCATTGGCTAATTTTTGAAAGTAGATCACCAGGCCTTTCTTCCTAGTCTGTCTTAGTCTGGAAGCTCCATTGAAACCTGTTCAGCATCACGGCAACAGACCAACCAGCCTCCACCAATGGCTGAGTGTTGGCAGCCCATGAGGTGCTTTGGCTGGGAATGGAACCCAGGCCTCCAGCATGGCAGGCAGGAACTCTGCCAGTGCCTTTAATTGTCTCTTTACAGGTTGTTTATTAGTTGTTGTTGCTGTTGTGTGCTGTTGAGTCAATTCTGACTCATAGCGACCCTATAGGACAGAGTAAAACTGTCCCACAGGGTTTCCTAGGCTGTCATCTTTCTGGGAAAGGAGCTGTAGTGGCACAGTGGTTAAAGCACTGAGCTGCTAACTAAAAGGTCGGCAGTTAAAACCTACCAGCCATTCCACGGGAGAAAGATGAGGCAGTCTGCTTCCTTAAAGACTTGTAGTCTTGGAAACCCTATCGGGCAGTTCTACTCTGTCTTACAGGGTCCAGAATCAACTCAATTACAGTGGATTTGGGGTTTTGTTTTTTTTTTGTTGTTGTTGTTGTTGTTTAATCTTTATGGGAGCAGATGGCCAGATCTTTTTTCCTGCTGAGCAGCTGTTGGGATCAGACCTCTGACCTTTCAATTAGCAGCCGTGTGCTTAACCATTGTGCCACCAGGGTTCCTTTGTTTATTAGCAGCAAGATCCAAAAAGAACAACTGTACAGTAGAGAACTTGGACAACATCTTGACCAAGGGATTAAAATAAAGCACCAATGAGGGGCAGATGGGCCGTGTGTATCTCTGAAGGTTCTGCCCTGAAAAGGTCATGCCATCCATCATCCCTGTGGTATTTCAGCCAAGATTGCGAACCTGAATCTAACCAGGAGGAAACTTCAGACAAACCTTGAATGAAGAGCATGGTGTTTGGTTTTTTTTAAAGGTACTGTATTATTCAAAAATGTCAAAGTCATAAACGGTTGAGAAAGATTAAGGGTTGGTTCAGATTAAAGGAGACAAAATAGCAATCAAATATAACCCAGGATCTAGACTGGCTCCTCTTCTGCAGAGAAATGGACATTGTTGGGCCAATGGATATAATTGACAAGGGAAAGGCTTATCATGAAGGCTGGGTATGGCTAGGTGAGCAGCACTGGAATATGACCAACTGCCCCCAGACTCCTTGCTTCCAAGCACAGGGTTTCCATTAGGGAGCCAGGCATTTGACCCCCAGAGGGGTTCTGGATGAAGAGGCTTTTCCCCCAGAGGAGTCTTAGGAGTTAAACTGAAGAATATCACCTGCTAGGAGCAGGAGACCAGCAGGGGGCATCACAGAGCAGGAAGCCTGGATTCTAGTTCCAATGATGAGAGATGCCAATGAGACCCTTCCTCTCTCTGGCCCTCAGTTTCCTGACTCAAATGTTGGTGTTCATAGTGGTCGAGGGATCAGAGGGTCCGAGAATGTCCACCCAGCTTTGCCAATTGTAGGCATATCTGTCTCTCAAATCAACTACAAGCTCAGTGATAGCAGGCATCCTGCTTCAACCCCCATGAGGGGCCCAGGAAATATATCTCATTAATTTTTCCAGAAATCATGGGACAGAAGAAAATGGGCCACCTCTGATCTTCCAAGTAGGAGTCAGGACCAATATTCCTGCTTTCCAAAGAACTGAAAAATCTCTGCTAGGAAACACCTTGACAGACAAAAGCATCCACTGAGGAAGACAGCTTGATGCGTGATGGGGAGGACTCAGTCTTCAGAGGAGAAGATGAGAAGGGGATGGGCCACCCTTGTGCTGGTTGCACCAGCACCACATGTAGCAGCCCCCTCCCAGCCATAGCAAGACTCAGACCACGGACACTGGCACTGCAAACAGAAAAAAGAAACCCACCACCACGGAGTCAATTCCAACACATAGCAACCCTATAGGACTCCACAGCACATAACAACAACAGGACAGAGTAGAACTGACCCACAGGGTTTCCATGGCTGTAAATCTTTATGGAAGCAGGCTGCCTCTTCTTTTCTCCCACAGAGTAGCTGGTGGGTTCAAACCCAAATCATCTGGTCATCAGCCCAATGCTTCAGCCACAGCACTACCAGAGGTCATGACTGGGACTGCAGAGTCTGCAATTTTCATAAATGGAGGTACAATATTTTAAAAATCATGTTCCTTTAAAAGTAAATGTAGTGTTTGTAAACATTGTTCCTCCTCCTACTTTGGCAAGCAGCAACTGGGATCTTAAAAGCTTGCAAGCAGCCGTCTAGATACAACAATAGGTCTCTCCTGGTCCAGAGCAAAGAAGAATGAAGAAAACCAAAGATTCATGGAAACAGTTAGTCCTTGTGACCTGTACGTCATGCAATCCTCAGCCTATACGACTATGAGACCAGAAGAACTAGACGGTGCCCAGCTATCACTGTCAACCACTCGGAGGGGGACCTATGTAGGAGATCCTGGACAGAGGGGGAGAACAATGTGGAACAAAACTCAAAATCATTTGGGAAAAAAAAAGCGGGGGGAGGGGGAGCAGGTTTGCTGGTCTGATAGAGCCTGGTGGAACCACTGAGACTGTGGCCCTAGCTCCCCTTCAGATGAGTCTTCTTCCAGAGGATAAATCAGTCAGGATGCTTTTGGCTGCAAATAACAGACGCCCTAACAGCAGCTGAACAAGGACATTAATTATCTCGTACAATAAGAAATCAAGAAGTAGGCAGTTTCAGGGTTGGTTAGTACAGCACAGTACTTATTACAGTATTAGTACAGGCTTCATGACATTATCAAAGACTTCAGCATTTTCTATCTTTCCTCTCTACAATCTTTATAATATTGGCCTTTAGTTACTTATCTATTGCTGCATAACCAACCCTCCCAAAACTTATGGCTTTATACCTCAATGACTATTTATTACCTCTCACGGTTTCAGTGGGTCAGAAACTCAGAAACAGCTTAGTTGGGTGGTTCTGGCTGAGAGCCTCAAATGTGACATGTCAGCTGGGATTGCAGTCATCTGAAGGACCGTCTGGAGCCAGAGGGTCTACTTATTGTCAAGGTGGCTCACTCAGATGGTGGAAAGCTGGTGCTGGCTGTTGGTTCCTCTCCACCTGGACCTCTCCACAGGGTTGCTTGAGTGTCCTCATAGTATGATGGCTGGCTTCTCTTGGAGTGAGCAATCCAAGAGAGACCTTGCATTGTGAATCAGCCACCAGCACTTCCACCACTGATCACATAGGCCAGCCCTGACTCCCTGTTGGAGGGGACCACACAAGGCATGAACACCGGAAGGCAAAGCTCCTTGAGGATTGTCTTGGAAGCTGGCGACCACAGCCTTCACCTCACGTAAAAGTAGGAAGGAGATTTCTCCTGAAATATATTCACATGTCTTTGTCAGGAAGGGAAAACTTTCCTAGAAATACTTCACAGTGCATCCCTAAGGATCCATTGAGCCAGGATTGGGTCCACATCCATACTCCAGATACAAGGGAAGCTGGGAGGGAGAGTATGGTGAGAGGCTGCCCTGTCAGTGAGGAAGAAGGGGAAGGAGTGGCGGTTGGTTAGCAAACGTCTTCCACCAATATCTAACCACCTCAGAGCCTGAGAAAGTTGACTCTTCTATGAGAGAGAGTGAACAACCACATTCCCAAGAAAAGGGAGCGTAATTTGACTCTTTACATTTGGAGAGTTTAAACGGACTGCAGTGTAGACTCCAAAGGAGGAAAGGAAAATTGAAGTTCTGGATCTAGAAGATGGTGGGTCCAGAAGCTGTCTTAACCCAGGGCTCCTGAAGCCGTCATAGCTAGCTATTCAAATTCCAAATGTACTGCCATCCAATCGATTCACATTCACAGCGACGACCTTTAAGTTTCTGAGTCGGTAAATCTTTAAGGAAGTATATTGCCCAGTCTTCCTTCACAGAGTGGCTGGTGGGTTTGATCACCAAACTTCTGGTTAAATGCCTTAGGCACTGCGCCACCAGAGCTCCTCAGCTAGCGATCAGTGCACAGAAAAGACTGTTGTTGAGCACCGAAAGCTGGAAGCTTGGGATCTCAAGTTCAACCCAGTGAGCAGTTTTCAAAAAGACAGCTTCATTCACCAGCACGTCTTGCGAACTGAATAGTATTAAGCTTCAATAGCAACACCATGTGGTCACAACAAGCAACAGCAGTCATGAATAATTCCAGGCACGGAAACTTAGCACAAAGCTCCTGGATAATTCTGGGTTTTCTCAAGCCCCTGGATTTTATGCTAGAAAGGCAC